ATATTTGCAAAATAATGAGTGGGAGAGGGTTGTATGACAGTACAACCCACTGGTCTCCATCGTTAGTTCAACACCGTGAGATTCGAAAGGGGCTTCGCGGCGGCACTGATTCCGCACTCCCTACGGAAAGTGTTCTTTCGGATCAATAACAAGGTTGACTTTCTAGCGATAGGATTCAATGATGTATTTCCGGTTTGGCCTACCTTACGGGGGCACTCCGGAGTTAAGTCTGTAGAATCTGAAACGATGGATTACACTCATAAAAATATAATCAAATTGTTGATCATATTTTTGACCAAAATTAACGGTAATTAATAAATATGAAAATATGAGATATTTTGAGTATGTTTATTAACTGAGAGGAGTCTCGGTTCAATTTGCAAATAATTTGACTACCCAAAGGTACACTTTATTTGTGGTAAATTAGATTATTGTTGGCACCTAAAATTAAAACATGATTTATGTATTTTTCATGTGCATCATGCATCATATTTAATTGTGCCTAAATTCACATGCTTTTGATATTCATGCGCATAAAATGATTAGAAGAATATTCTACTTATTTCCAGCAACATGTCAAATCCTATTATCACACTACTTGCGACTGAAAAACTAGATGGTGATAACTACGCTAAGTGGAAAAGTAACATGAACATACTATTGGTATGTGAAGACTACAAATTTATCCTAGTAGAGAAATGTCCTCAAGAACCCGCGGCTAATGCATCCAAAACCGCAAGGGAGCCTTATGATCGCTGGATCAAGGCCAACAACAAAGCAACGTGCTTTATGTTGGCCAGCATGAGCGATGTGCTTCGCAAGAAGCATGAGGAGATGGAGACTGCTTATGAGATAATGGAGTCTCTAGAAGTCATGTTTGGCGCTCCATCAGAGAAGGCTCGTTTGGATGCTGTAAGGGCTTTCATGAATGACAAGATGAGAAAAGGCTTTTCGGTTAAGGCACATCTTTTGAACATGATTGATCACCTCCATGATGCGGAGCTTAATGGTGCCATAATTGATGAAGCCACCCAAGTTGGCATCATCTTGGAAAGCCTATCCCCTGATTTTTATGAGTTCGTGAACAACTTTGTTATGAACAAGAAAAAGTCCAACCTCACTGAACTCATGAATGACTTGCAAAACTTCGAATCCACCAACAAGAGAAGGGAAGGAGAAGCAAATGTTGTTATTGCAAGAGGCTCTGGTAAAAACAAAAGAAAGGACCAGAACTAAGGGAAAGGGAAGAAAGGAAAGAATAAGAAACCAAGGAAGACTAAAGGCCCCATCCAGAAACCTAAGGGAAAATGTTTCCACTGCAATGGCGAAGGGCACTGGAAGAGAAACTGTAACAAGTATCTCGAGGAGCTGAAAAAGAAAAAGAAACAAGGTAAATCAGATTTACTAGTCCTTGAAACATGTTTAGTAGAGGGTGATACCTCGGCCTGGATAATTGATTCGGGAGCAACTAATCATGTTTGTTTTTCTTTGCAGACTCTTAGTTCTTACACCGAGCTAGCCGATGGGGACTACACGATGAAAGTGAGCAATGGCGCAAGAGTTTCGGCAAAAGCAGTGGGAGAAGTTAGACTTCGTTTTAGGGAAAATAAATTTTTAGTTTTGAACAATGTTTATTTTATTCCAGACATTCGTAGAAATTTGATTTTTGTGGCTAAGTTATTCGAACAATTATTTAAAGTTTATTTTGATAATGAATTTGTTCATATTTCT